CCTTCCTTCCTTCCTTCCTTCCTTCCTGTCTGTAGGATTCAGGCAGTTCACACCACTTCAGACCGGTAGCTAATTTTTTGTTGCCCAGGCCCAGAATGGACTTCCAGAAGCGGCATCCACACAGAGAACCGGTTGTTCACCTCTTTGAATCCCACCACTGCCTGTATTCCCATTTTCACAGCCACTCCCGCTGCTCTTTGGCATTCGTGATATTTGTTTTAGGGTAATTTTAACTTTCAGGGCGTGTGCTTCTCAGGCGCCAACAGTCAACTGCTGAGGACTGAGCCAACAATTTCTCCCCCTTGGCTGCGACGGGCACAATCATAAGCCACTCTTTCGTGGTTGATCTGCTGGCATGCTTTTGGGCAGAGATCTCGGAAAGACAGCCGCAAAGCGGTCCGATTTCTCTCGTTGTTTATTTCAGCTGCAAGTAGTTTTCACACAGGAGTCACGCAGCGCGGCTGTTGGAAATTCAACCCCAGAGAATGGCTCCCGATATCATCTTTTGCAGAAAGGAGTATCCAGGCACGTTTGTGGCTGTGTGATGCCAACACACCTCCCTGAAGTGTGATGCCAACACACCTCCCTGAAGATATCCCTTAATGATATCTGTTGACTTGAGCTGGGAATTTTATCCTTCCATCAAGTAAACAAATGAAGTTTGGAAGGGCTGCTTCCATGCAGCTTCTGAGGTTTCCCACGGAAAGTCATGATTAAATTGCGCATCGGTTCCTTTTACTGAGCTTATCCTCCTCCTTCAGAACAGTTCGTTTAGTGACCGTTCAAAGTTACAATGGCACTGAAAAAAGGGACTGATGACCGTTTTTCACATTTATGACAGGTACAGCATCCTCGTGGTCACGTGATCAAAATCCCGATGCTTGGCAACTGGCATGTACTTATGACAGTTGCAGTGTCCTGGAGTCATCTTTTGCAATCTTCTAACAAGCAAAGTCAATAATAATAATAATAATAATGATGATGATGATGATGATGATGATGATGATGTTGGAAGGGATCTTGGAGGTCATCTAGTCCAACCCCCTGCTCAGGCAGGGAACCCTATACCATTTCAGACAAATGGCTGTCCAGTCTCTTCTTAAAAACTTCCAGTGTTGGAGCATTCACTGCTTCTGGAGGCAGGTTGTTCCACTGGTTAATTGTTCTCAGAGTCAGGAAATTCCTCCTTTGTTCTAGGTTGCTTTTCTCCTTGATTAAGAGAACAACAGAGTTGGAAGGGACCTTGGAGGTCATCTAGTCCAACCCCCTGCTCAGGCAGGAAACCCTATACCATTTCAGACAGATGGCTGTCCAGTCTCTTCTTAAAAACTTCCAGTGTTGGAGCATTCACCGCTTCTGGAGGCAGGTTGTTCCACTGGTTAATTGTTCTCACTGTCAGGAAATTCCTCCTTAGTTCTAGGTTGCTTCTCTCCTTAGTTAGTTTCCAATGGGGAAGCCAGATTCATTTAACAATCGCAATAGCAATAGCACTTAGACTTATATACCACTTCACAGTGCGTTTACAGCCCTCTCTAAGCGGTTTACAGAGTCAGCCTCTTGCTCCCCAACAATCTAGGTCCTCATTTTACTGACCTCGGAAGGATGGAAAGCTGAGTCAACCTCCAGCCGGTGAGACTTGAACTGCTGAAGTGCTGGCAGCCAGTGATACTAGCTTAACAACTAACATGATTCATTTAGTAACTGTGGCAAGAATGGTTGTAAAACGGGGCAAAATTCGGTTAACAACTGTCTCAGCAACAAAAACCTTGGGCTCTATTGTGGTTGTAAGTTGAAGACTACCTATATTAAATTGCACATCAGTTCCTTTTAGTTGCTTGGCTGCATGCTACCACATTACCTGACATGCAAATGGCTTAAAAACATGTGCACATGGCATTCATTTGGCCAGTGCCTGCCCTGTCCTTTGCCATCACAATTTCTGATGTGACCAAAGTCTCTTGCAGGTAGTCCTTAACTTATGACTGTGGTGGCGAACCTATGGCACTCAGAGCCCTCTCTGTGGGCACGCGCACTGTCGCCCCAGTCCTAGGCCTTCAGCTGGGTTTTATAAACCCTTTTCGCTTTAGGCCTCTGCCGCCGTGTGCAAAAAAAAAAGTTTCAATCAATCAGTCAATTTCAACTTCTCGCAGGGGAAAAAAAAGATCTCGCAAAGTTGGAATTGATTGATTGAACCTTTTAGTCCCACCCAGTCTGCCGTTACCACTGCAGCCACGCCCACCCAATGGGCCTCGCCCACCCAACTGGCCACACCCACCCAATGGGCCACGCCCATCCAGCACCCAATGATACATAAGTGGGTTTTGGGTTGCAGTTTGGGCACTCGGTCTCTAAAAGGTTCGCCATCACTGACTTATGACATAACAGAGCCTGCCTATCATGGATGTAAATGGTGACAGTTGTAAAACAGGTCAGTTATGTGGCCAAGCCTATTTTATGATGGTTCTGAAGCAAACACGATGATCGTTAAGCAAATCAACAGTCCGTTATCGGCCGGTTTTGCCGAAAATCAGGACTCAATGCGGATTTTCAGTGAAACTGTCCTAAAACATGGGACACGGCAAGCAGCCATGGATGCAGAGTGGTTGCTGAGCATCTGACGTGCAGTCACATGATCGTGGTGTGCGATCACATGATCGTGGTGCATGTGTGTAAGAACTAGAAACTATCCTAAAACATGGGACATTGCGAGCAGCCATGGATGCAGAGTGGTTGCTGAGCATCTGACGTGCAGTCACATGATCGTGGTGTGCGATCACGTGATCGTGGCGCATGTGTGTAAGAACCGGATTGCAAATACCCCTGGCAGGTCCACTGACTTAACTGCAGTGATTCCCTTAACAACCGTGCCAAGAATGGTCATAAAACGGGGCGAAGCTCCCTTAACCACTGTCCCGTTTTGCAACAGAAATTTTGGGCTCAGTTGTGGGCAGAACGACCTGTATAGCCTTGGGCAGTAAGTCATCTGAATTGGAACCTGTGTGTGACTCTGATCCTTGGCGCCCGACAAAAAGAGAATTTTTTTTTGCAATAACCCAGAAAAAAGAACCCTCTGGGCTTATATCTCAGCTTGTGCAATTCATCCTGTAAAATGGAATTTGGAAGCATTACATTCTCAGCTTCCAAAATTAAATTTTAAAATTAGCTGCTCTTTGTATTTTTAATGGTCTGGGTGAAAAGGACCCAGAAGGAACATTGCTATCTATAGAAGAATGGTCATTTAAAGTCTCGAATTTAGCAGAAATGGCCAAGATTTCCGCTTATGTGAAGGATCACTCACAAGAAAGATATATTTGGGTTTGGAGAAGATGGATAGATTATATTGAGTGTAAATATGGGACTAAAAAATATCATTTGGTTTTTGAGTAAATTTTGGAATATTATGGTTGTATAAAGGTTAGAATATTTTATTTAGTATTATTTTTAATTATTAAAGTGTTATTATTATTGTTTTTAATAATTGTACTGTTTAAAAGAGAGTTAAAGGAGGTTACA